TGGCCAGTGCTGTTAGGTTCCCACCTTGAAACACCTTGGCCTGATTTTCAGAGGACCCATCCTCTGTGCAACAGGTGTCTCAGGTTGGCCACGCAAAAACATTGGGTACTTTACAAAGTCTTGATCCCTGCCTTTTCACATATCAAGTCTATGTCCCTCTGTTGCCTTTCATGCATCTCTTTTATTTTTGGAACCCCAAACTCATCACTCTTTAATGATGGAGTCCCAATAATCCAACTTCAAAAGATTTGCTTTTTAATTTTAATGCTACAGTGAACATTTTCCCTTCTTTTTGACTCTTTATTCGGAAAAATCCATTTTTCACATGGAACATGTTTTCTAAAGATAGAAAGAGCCTCACATCTTTATAGTAAAAAACAGGACTGTGTAGCACTTTAAAGACTAAAAAGATGGTTTAATAGGTGATGAGCTTTCGTGGGCCAGACCCACTTCTTCAGATCAAATAGTGGAAGAAAATTGTCACAACCATATATACCAAAGGATACAATTTAAAAAATGAACACATATGAAAAGGACAAATCAAATTTCAGAACAGAACAGATATATATATATCCTATACTGGAACAGGATACTAAACTCCGAGAGGCTCCGGGAGACAGACCCATAGTCTCCTATAGACAACCACCTAACCTCAAGATGATTCTTACCAACAACCACAGGACATACCACACTAATACCAACCCTGGTACCTTCCCTTGCAACAAACCCCTTTGCCAGCTTTGTCCACATATTCCCTCTGCTGATACCATTATTGGACCCAACCAAGTGAGTTATAAGATCAAGAATACATATTCCTGCACATCCAGAAATATAATTTATGCAATTGTGTGCCGAAAGTGTCCGTCCGCTATGTACATTGGACAAACGTCTCAGACACTTTGCCAAAAGATCAATGCCCACAAAACAGATATCAGACAGGATCACAAAGAAAAAACAGTTTCTTGCCATTTCAACCAGAAAGGACATTGTCTCGATGACTTGATTTCCTGCATCCTGCTTCAAAGACCTTTTAAGACTTCACTTCAAAGAGAATCCTCTGAACTGTCATTCATGCATAAATTTGACACTTTACACGCAAATTTGAATAAAGACGCTAATTATCTTACCCATTACAAAGATAGCTTCCCCCATTATCACCTCTAATATCATTAGCTCACAGACATTTACCTCCCCCCCTTTCATCCCTCTTCTGTTCTGAAATTTTGTCCTTTTCATATGTGTTCATTTTTTTAATTGTATCCTTTGGTATATATGGTTGTGACAATTTTCTTCCGCTATTTGATCTGAGGAAGTGGGTCTGGCCCACGAAAGCTCATCACCTATTAAACCATCTTGTTAGTCTTTAAAGTGCTACACGGTCCTGTTTTTTGTTTCAGCTGCACCAGACTACAACAGCTACATTTCTACATCTTTATAGTACTACTTCAAAGTTCTCTTCCTTTTGTTATGGAAGACACTGTAAACATCCTATATTTCTCCTACTGCCCAAACCAATGCAATTTTCCACTTATCCTCCATTGTACTGGCCCCTGTGGCTTTCACAGACAGTTCAAATAGCAGTCTGAACCCTTTCCAGTGCTTGTCAGTATTTCCCAGAATGTTTAACGCTGCTAAGTGATTTAGATGTTGCAGATCCACAGGTTTCAGAATAGTCATTTTTATTTTACTTGTTTCCTCTCTGCAGTCAGTGTCCCTTCTATCAAACATTTCCAACCTGCATCCTCTTTCCTTGCATTCACCTGCACTTGAGAACCTATGCAAGGCAACATGTTGTAATGGCAAACTCCTTGTTGAGGTATAATCAACAGTAGCACAGCTGGCACTTCCTTAGATTCCAGCTAATATAAATTCCTGCACCAAGAATAGGGTTAACAGAACATTTACAAAGCCTTTTGACTATAGGAATGGATACAATTTTTAGTTCAAACATATAAAGGAGGAAATGCTCAAGTCTTGCCTTACTATTTTATCCATCACTGCCAGAAACATCATAAAAACCCACCCATCCCCAAAGGTCAGAGAAATACACATGAGCCTTTAAGTATGGCTTGAGGGTCAAGCAACTTTGGCTCTGTCAGACCAAAGGAGAAATGAAGGTCAGTTTCAAAGCTAAGGAACACTCTCAGAACCACCCACTGCATTAGCTGCGTACCATTTTAGCCAGATGGCTGTAAGCTCAAGGACCTCTGCAGATCTCAGCAGCCATAGGACCCATGAAGAGAGGCTGCGCTCTGCTAAAGAGATCCCAAAACACTTAGAGCAGTGGTAGGCAACCTGCAGTCCAAGGGCCGCATGCAGCCCATTCGGGTTTTGTGTGTGGCCCAAAAGACGTTTTGTTTACCATTGCACATGGTGCAGTGTTGCCAGATTCCACTGGCTTCCATCTGCGTAGGGTTTTTTCCCCTACCAATATTACTAAAGTGACATGCACATAAAGCAAGGGCAGGTGAAGTGAGGTGTGTACTGATTGCACACAACATTGACTTAGAGATGTGCAGGCTCTCTGCAGCCAATCAAAGCGCTGCCCAGTTCAATCGGCACATCTTGCAAATTATAGATATGCAAGGGCTGTCGGAAAAACTACCCTATCCTGGAAGACCATCTTTGCTACAACAAATTTGCAGTCCACTCAGTTGAAGGAGGGCCAGTCATGTGGCCCACTCACTAGATTATGTTGCCCATTGCTGACTTAGTCAGATTTTCAACAGTATTTAAACAGGATTTTTTAAAGCATCTAAGCAGGGTAGGCATCTAACTTCCATAAATGCTTTTGAAAACCCCACTATGCCTTTAAATTGCTTTGAAAAAAATCTAACCCTTACAGAGCAACACCTCCAACTCCACCTGGACATGAATTCTGACCAGCAGAGATCCCCTACCATCTGTGCAATGTGCTCCTTCTGAAGCACAGCTTAATAAAATAGGCAGCTGCATTCTGCACCAATGCCAGGTCCCACATGCTCCCAAAGTGCAGCCCATGAAGAATGCATTGCAGCAATGTCATCTCAGGATGCCATGGGCTCCTGGTCCAGATCAAAAAGGTCCGAGCACTCTGCATATAGCCACAGCTGCTGCCTGAGTATCCAGGAACAAGTGAGATCTAAATGACCCTTAGTCAAGGAGGGGGTTGATTATGCATGCCTTCTGCTATTGCTTGCATAGGGCTACGAACAAATCTGGGCCGATCCTTGGGCATCTTTGTCCTCAGCCAGACCCAGATAAGTTTCTGTGTTGCCAAACAAATGGGGATTCAAAGCTGAGGTTGGTGCAGCCCACATATCCTCAATGAGGTCTCTCTCATGACAGCCCACTATGATACTGGAAATCAACCTATGCGACAAACATTCCAACTGGCTCCCCATTCCCTATCACATCAGATCCCAGCTCTTCACCCACCTACAAATTCCGACAGAATATTACCCTTCACCCACCACCTACATTTTTGCCCCTACGCTATGCTTATCCTAGCCCTTTCACGGTCTTAGATTTGCTTCTTCACTTGCTGTGCCCATATGCTTGGAATGGAGACTCAAAAAGGATTCAAATTTAAATGGCTAATGGGAACAGCCAGAGTTATGTTAGCTATGGTTACAAACACATCAAGAATATAAATCAGCTGAACTAGCCACTAACAGATGGGCTACGTCTACACTGCAGGCTTCTTGCGCAAAAACTTGCCAGATGTCTACACTGCACGTGCGCTCTTGTGCAAGTACATTTACAGTACAGCATCGGAAAACAGGGCTTCTTCCGGAAGAGTTATTCCTCTCCCCATAAGGAATAAGTCCTCATGAGCAAGAGCTCTTCCACAAGAAGGCAGTGTGGACAGGCAACAAGAATTTCTTGCGCAAGAAAGCCCGATGGCTAAAATGGCCATCAGAGCTTTCTTGTGCAAGAATGTGTCCACACTGTCATGGACGCTCTTTCGCAAAAGCACATGGCAGTGTGGATGCTCTCTTGTGGAAGACCTTTTGCACAAGAACTCTTGCACAAAACAGTTCTTGCGCAAGAAGCCTGCAGTGTAGACATAGCCATGGAGTAGAGAGAAAGCTTCCCCCAGCAACAGGGACCTTACTGATTGTCCATTTCAAGGTTTCTTGCATCTTCCTCTGAAGTGCCTGGTACTCACCACTGTAAGAGACAGGATATTCTACTGCAAGGGTTACTGGTCTCATCATGTATGACATGTCCTATCTTCCTCTGTCACTATCTGTCCAAATCTCTCTCCTCCTTCAAATTCCCCTAAGAATTCCTCCAAAAACACTTGTCCCCTGAGCTTCTGCCCAGATCAGCATGAAGACTCCCAGGTGACAGGGAGCCTTTCGCATGTTCTTAGGGGTTTACTCTAGCTACAGGTGCTAGCTCATTAGCACCTTGTTCCAGAAATGAAATAGAGCGAAGGCACAGCCATAGCACATCTCCTGGCCTGTTCCCAAACCTTTCACTTCAGACCCCATTCCCCAATGAGAGAGAACTGCTCGAATGGTGGCCTAGTCATGGTGTTGCTGATAGAAACCGCCAGAGCTTGGTGCCTTGGAACCACAAGGCCAGCAGGGGGAAGCTTACCGATTGCCCTTGGGAGGTTTCACATGGAGTTTCTTAGGTGCCAAGATCTGCAATAGGATCAGACTGGAAGAGCTCTCCTTTGGGCTGGTAGTAATGGAATCTGTTTCAGGGGCAAATGGGGAGAAACTTCCACAGGGCTGGAGTTAAAAGGATCTGTGCTGGTCACAGAGTAGTCCACAGCATTTAGCCACATGACCTGATGCTGCCTTATTGTCCATGCAGACGTAGCTGACCGATACGGCCAGAACCCAGCTGTCAAGCTCCATATTGATCTAAGCAGCTAAACCATAAGCTGGAACCTGCAATTTCCAGAAGCTGCAGCAGCGTACTCAAAAATCAGACAACTTCGCCTCTCCCAGATCTCTGGCTCCTCTTTCCAACCCCGCCCGCCCGCCGACAGTTGACATCCTTACCCGGGGAGCCAGGCTGTCCTTACAATGCAGGCTGATTCCACACTCATCAGTGATTTCAGAGAGATCTTCATCCTCAAATTCCTCAAGGCTGATGTCATGGGTGAGCCTGGCGGAGGCAAAGACCATTAGTTACTGCCAAACAGATCTAATCTGCCCACGGAGCTCCGGGCACTGGCCCATGAGGAAGGGTGGACAGTGTGTGACACAAGTTGCATTGTGTTATGGGGTACATACTGGCAGCCCTGCTAGGAAAGAGGGATTACAGGGCAGTTTCTCTGGTCTAGAATGGGAATACTTGTGAGACGTACTTCTCAAATGGGGGTACAGCTTTACACCAGCTCCAACCTTTCTACCCACCCCCCTCCCCGAATTCTGTTTGTCTGTGGGGCCCCTGCTGAATTCCTGCAGCATCGCTCTTCATCAACAGGGCCCAGAAAGCAGCCTCGCGAAGTACGTTGGTGGGGAGGCAGTGGCCAGACCCCTTCTGGGAAGATCAGTATGTTACCTACTCTGGGAAGTACTACGCTATTTTCTGAGGCTCTCCAGGCAGGGCCCTGTGGCTTCCAGGGAGAAGAAAGCTACTGTACACAGAGCTGCTGGACCTAGGCTCAAATCATACTAGACTCTGCACACAAAGGAAATTACAAGGAGTCCCAAAGTAGGAAAGAGGTGGGGAAGGAAGTAGAGGGGTCAGAAAGAATCTGCATTCTCCTAGCTTATTCCCACCAACAATGCACACCTGTGTGGAATCAGAGAATTAACCTTTAGGTATAAAACTCAATCTTAGGAACATAGGAAGCATCAGCTCAGCTGAGATGGAGCAGGATTCATCTAATCCAGTAATATACACTGACAGGAGTCAGTGCCAAATGCTTCAGAGGAAGGTACAAGAAATCCCCCACAGTGTACAATTATGGAATAATTTGCCCCCGGGGGAAATTTCTTTCTAACCTCTGGCAGTTATTGGCTGGCTTATGCCCTAAAAACTCAACATGGATGGAAATATTATTGTTGTTGTTTTATTTATATATATATATAAAACAAGCTCACTTCTGTTTGTCTGTGGGGCCCCTGCTGAATTCCTGCAGCATCGCTCTTCATCAACAGGGCCCAGAAAGCAGCCTCGCAAAGTACGTTGGTGGGGAGGCAGTGGCCAGACCCCTTCTGGGAAGATCAGTATGTTACCTACTCTGGGAAGTACTACGCTATTTTCTGAGGCTCTCCAGGCAGGGCCCTGTGGCTTCCAGGGAGAAGAAAGCTACTGTACACAGAGCTGCTGGACCTAGGCTCAAATCATACTAGTCCCTGCAAACAAAGGAAATTACAAGGAGTCCCAAAGTAGGAAAGAGGTGGGGAAGGAAGTAGAGGGGTCAGAAAGAATCTGCATTCTCCTAGCTTATTCCCACCAACAATGCACACCTTTGTGGAATCAGAGAATTAACCTTTAGGTATAAAACTCAATCTTAGGAACATAGGAAGCATCAGCTCAGCTGAGATGGAGCAGGATTCATCTAATCCAGTAATATACACTGACAGGAGTCAGTGCCAAATGCTTCAGAGGAAGGTACAAGAAATCCCCCACAGTGTACAATTATGGAATAATTTGCCCCCGGGGGAAATTTCTTTCTAACCTCTGGCAGTTATTGGCTGGCTTATGCCCTAAAAACTCAACATGGATGGAAATATTATTGTTGTTGTTTTATATATATATATATATAAAATAAAACAAGCTCACTGCAGATGCTATTATCCATAAAAATATTCCATGCTGGGATCTTGAAGAGCAGGAAGTGGAACTTTTTTTTTTTTTTTTTTTTTGTGGTAGTGAATTTCACAGGCTAATTGTGCCTTTACAAATGTATTTTCTTTTAGCAGTGTCACTGCATGTCCCCCTGTTCTTTTATTCTGAGAGCATGTGAATAGAAGTACCTGATTTCCCTATACAAACATTTATAATATATACCTCCATCATCTCTCTCTCTTTTATCTAGCACGTCTCTAAACTGAAGCCTCTGGTCTCATTTACACACAAACTTGCACATTTTAACGAGAGATGTGGTTTTAAACTAATTTAGCAGAACTTTAATGTAGACGCTGTTATTTCCATTTAAGAGTGGCTTCTTTTTGTTCAGAATAATAGGTTTAAAACAGATTATGGTAAACCAAAATACACTATTCTTAAACTGAAATCAGAGTGGGTACACATGGGTTTGCACCCATGTGCAAAACCAATTAGAGTTAAGTTAAACAGATGCAAGTTATGATGTGTAGATAAGGCTATTTTCTTGACTCATACAGAAGAACATTTTCATCACTAGAGTTTGAATCCATCTGCAGCAGAGAATTTGGCCAGAAAACCCCAATGGCTAACATGATCCATGGAGAAGGAAAGGCCCCAATAGGAGAATGGAACAGAATCAAAAGCAAGTTCATTGGGGGGAGGGGGGGGGGAGTCCCCATGCTGGGATCTTGAAGAGCGGGAAGTGGAACGGGTCAGGTTCCTGGTGATGCAAGTGGGGAAGGGCAAAAGGGATAACTCGCATAATTCACAGCTTCTCAGAACGACCTTTCAAAGATCCTTGGCGCAGATGCTATTATCCATAAAAATATTCAATTCTTTTTTGAATCCATCTAAGCCCTTAACCTATCTCATCCTCCATGGGTGTTCAGAGCCTCATCAATCTAGATCCTTGGCCTATCTCATCCTCCATGGGTGTTCAGATCCTCATCAATCCTGGATGTCCAGGCAGCATCCGTGCCCAGGGGTCTTTTTTATATTCCTTGTGTCGCCCTTAGAGTTATAGTGCCAGAAAGCAGAAACCTTCCTTCCCTACCCCAATCATGTCCTTGCTTAGTTCCCCTGAGATATCAAGGCAGCAGCAAGAAACATCCTTCCCTCTTGCTATGAAGAACCTCAAGGGAACAGATGGCATTATGTCTAGAGTAGAGCATATTGACCTGCTCACTCCTAAGAAACATCCTTCCCTCTTGCTATGAAGAGCCTCAAGGGAACAGATGTCATTATGTCTAGAGGAGAGCATATTGACCTGCTCACTCCTAGAGAGACAGGGAAGAAAAGGTGGGAAGAGTAATCTCCTCTCCTAGATATTTCTAAAGATCTCACTCCCTTCCCAGGGACCCTCTCAAGTGCAGCCTCCTGCCAGCATCCAGCAGTGGGGATGAGGCCATTTTGGCCAAGGGCAGTGGAGCAAACTTCTGGGTCTTTTACTGTCTGCACAGAGCAGACAGGAGCTCAGGAAAAGAGCCTGCAGCACAGAGTCCCTTCAGCTAAATGACTGATCTATAGCGCAGGGGTCAGCATATGCATTGCTTCCCCAGCTGCTTTCAACAGATGCCCTCTCTTGGGCTTCCTTTTCACAGGCCTGAGGCTCCTCTGCCTTACAGCCACCTGGTATCACTGATTACACTGGGACAAAATGAGCATGAATTGCTGGCATTTGCAGGCATCTGACACACAGTTTGCAAGGGTGCTAATGATGTACAAGGTGCCAAGAGAGGGGGAAATCAGACCCCATGTTCCTAGGCTGCTTTCCCCTCAGCCTGTTGTTCTATAGGAAGTGAGAGAAAAAGTCTAGCAAGGAACCTTTACTGCATGAATCAATTCCCTCTCTGGTTACACAGGGTCAGACAGGATCTGCCTCTAATGATCATTCTCTCATGTACTGCTGTCAGGGCCCTGGGGCACAGGCTGACAGAGAGATCCCCTTGTTGTAAGGGCCCAGTTCTGCTCTGCAAGACCCACAACTTCTCAGAAAGGCCTCTCAAAAGGCTGTGGCTGCCCCCCCTCCCCCTTCCAAATGCTGCAGAACCTCTTGGCAAAGCAGCTCCAGGACTGCCCAGTGGGATGGCTGGAGAGCAGCTGCAGCTCAGCTCTCATTCTGGGGCAGGGCTCAGCACTGTGTGCAGAAGGCATAAGCCTGATGGCCTGGCACCAGGGAGCCCACAGGTTTGAAGGCAGCCATGGGAAGCAGAGATGCTGTGCCAGGGTTTGGAGGAATTACCTGGGGGCACTAGGATCTCCAAACCCTTCAGACCTCCCTCTCCGTGAAGCTCCCGGATTAACACTCCCCTTTCACAAGCAGGCTACACTGCTCTTACCCTTTCCACCTGCTGTTAAAACAAACATTTCCAGCAACTGCTCCTGCCTCCGGCACTAGGAGGCTCTCTGCATGTGAGCCCATGACTCCTCCGATGGGGAGGAAACAGCAGTCTTGGCTGCTCTGGTCTCCTCAGTGCCCAGCTATCATGCAGCCCCACACACAGCATAGAAACTATGGGCCAAGTATGTACTTAGTTCTCTCCTGCTCTGCAGGCACCACAGGCAGAAAGAGAGGAGGCCTGACTGTTCCCCAGCCCTCCCTTCCCACCGTGCCCTACCATTTCTCCCACTGATCCTCCAGCCAGCTCTCCTCTTCTGTGCTTGATTCCATTCTCAAGGCCAGCTGCATTTAAAAGGAACCCGTTCCTTGGGGTTTCAGAGCCACAGTCCAAAGAAGTTCTCCCCAGGGAGAGAAGCCAGGCATAAGGGAGCTGAGCTCTGGGTGTGCTGCCCCTCTGCCTCCCCCAGCTCAGAGCCCGGTGCTTCCTGCGCCACTCTCCGCCTCCCCACTGCGCAGTCTAGGGGAGCTCATTAAAAATAGATACAATCAGCTGTCTTGGAAAAAAAATAACCCACTGAGCTGAGATGGTGCCAGGCCCTGCGCGCTGCCTGGGCTGCTGAGTCTCCCAGCCAGCCAGACTCCTGCTCAATAGCAGCTCCAGCTCCCCCCTCTTCGTCACTAACAGACACCAGCTCGGTGAGCCACCTTCTCCTGTCCTTGCAAGGTCCCTTGCAGTCTATTCAGCCTCTTCATGGACTACGGTCTCAGATGGGAAAGGGGGCAGTCATCAGCTTTTACTTGGCAAGGAGAGAACTATAATTTCATCCAGAAAAAGAAATTTAAAGGGGTCACTGCAGCATTTATACACACATGAAATTGTGTGCGGAGGACAAGGTGGGGATGCTTGGTTTCGTGTACTTTCAGAAATGATCTAAATCCCCAGACTTCCAGCCTCTCTTCCAGTCCATTCTAGGTATAGTCTCTC